TGGCTGGGGAATTCTGGGAGTGGAAGTCCAGACATCTTAAAGTTGCCAAGGTTGAGAAACAATGGTTTAAACTATAGTTTGTTGACATGAAACACTAAGCCACAAATATAATTTGTAGACCACAGTGGCTAGCTTTGCACCAAATAAACCATAGCTTGATAGGATGTGTGAACCAGGCTGAAGTATTCAGGTGACTGCTACAACAGGCAAAGGCAGGAAAGAAGGTTTCAAGTCAGATTAGCTAGGACCGACGAATATCCCAGTGTAGATTTCTACACCCCATATTCACCTAGTTAAGAAGGAGAAGTTGCATGCAACGAATCCACCTTGGGCCTTCTGTATCCCGCTCACGTTCCCCTGTAGGTACGGGAGTTAGAAACCCAGCTGAATCGTAGCAAAAGCAGGTTATCCGACAACGATGCCAACGAAGAACCGTTAAGCTTCGCCGACTCGAGGAAGTCGTCAGTCCAAGCGAAGAACCAGCTGCGGATTCGAAGCTTGGAAAGGGAAAAGAAAGAAGCTTTGGAAGTAAGACATTCTGGCTGGATGAATCAAGTCCAAGTAAGATTTTGAAACAGCACCACAAGTTTACTGAGTCGTTGGTAGGTGCTCATCCATCGATGGAGTCAAGGAACAGAGTGGGTGGGTTCAGGTTTCCCCCAGACTTCTAAGGAGGGAATAATTTTGTGGGGGGTTTTGTTCGTTAGTTCATCCATTCAATCGTGTCCAATTCTTGGAGACTGCCTGGACAAGTCCCTGCGGTTTTCATGGCAAGGTTTTTTCAGAAGTGGTTTGCCATTGCCTCCTTCCTAGGGCTGAGAGAGAGTGACTGGCCCAAGGTCGCCCATTCCACATTATGCAGCGTTGATACTTCTGTCTTCAACCATCCTTTAAACCAAAAGCAGTTAGCGACAGGAGGGGACCACATGGGAGAAGGACCTGGGTCAATAAACTGCTTAATGCTTCCTTGGATTTTCCTTCTCCAAGGTGAATTCCCACCCCTCCACCCCCCAGGGCAGGAAGAAAGTCCTACCCAGGCTGGTTTTGTCAGGACAGAAGTGTAGAGGAGAGACTCCAAGAATCTTATCAAGGAGAATCAGTGCTTCACGTCATCACAAAAATCATTTTGGGGTGCCGTGATCCTCAGCTTCTCTTTGTCTCTTTCTTAATGGCAGAAGCTTATGAATCAGCACCAGGTCCTCCAGAAGGATCATGAGGACGTGAAGAAGAAGTTGGATGGGTCCAAAGCGAGGAACAAAGTCTTGTCCAGTGAGGTGAAAACTTTAAAGGAGCAGATCTCAACCCTGCTGGACAAGGGGAAACACGACGACGAACTCGTTGACGCTTTACTGGTACGATCTGACCAATGCTATTCCTGCTTCATGCCAGAGAGATTTGGTCTTGACTGTTATTCATGGTTACGTACACCATGAATTTGCAAATGCCTGATCCTCTGCAAAGAATCAGTCCAGTGTTTCCCAACCCACAATTCCCCTACGTCCCAGTCAGTTGTGGGAGGGTCGGATTAGCCCATGTTGGATTCTGAGCCCACGACTGAAGAGAAGAAGGGCAATTTTCTCTAGACCAGTGTTTCTCAACCTCAGCAACTTTGAGATGTGTGGACTTTAACTCCCAGAATTCCCTAGCCAGTATGCCTGGACTTCAACTCCCAGAATTCCCTAGCCAGTATGCTGGACTTCAACTCCCAGAATTCCCTAGCCAGT